GTGTGTGTGTGTGTGTGTGTGTGTGTGTGTGTGTGTGTGTGTGTGTGAGATGTATGTCTATGTATACACGAACATCTTTAAAGTAGATTTTTTTTGTGATTCCTATCATGGCGATTCTGATCGAAGCAGATTTTAATTGTTCCAATAAAGTAATTAAATTTACTTTTACAAGTAAATTTCTCACGTAATAACCGTACGCGTGTGTAGGTATAGCAATATATATTGTAATAATGCGAAATTTCATTTCCAGATTTGACATAAAGCTATATAGTTTCAACATCGCCATCGACTAGTAATCGACGCGTATTTCAAAAGCATAAAGGCGTGAAATGTAAAATAAAATTTACCAAAATTATTTACCATAAGAATAAAATCCAATCTGATAACTGAAAATGCAATGCTCAATTATTCATGTTAATTAAAACCGATTTTCATGAACTCTCATTTGATTAAAGATATATTTGAATGCGAATATAGAATCCGAAGTAAAATGCTATTAACACGAGAACTACCAAGGGGGTAAAAAAATGACCCGTTTGACATTTTTAAATAATTTATTACTCATTTTTAAAACTTAATTTCTGAAGTTTTCCCTGATTTTTATTGAAGTTACGTAGATAATTTTATATTAATTTTTTCTCTTTTTCTCTTTTTTTTCTAAGATTTCTACGGTAAAAATAAATATAGATTAATCTCCAGTAATTCTAGTGTTAATCAAGTAATTCAAAGTCGATATTTAATTATCCGTTATTTTATTCAAGTTTTTCTTAATTATTTATACCTTGAGCTGGAGAAAGGAGGGGAGATTATAATTAAATCAAATCGATCTAAAAAAAAAAAAAGAAAAAGGAAGCAGAGAAAGCAAAAGAAAGAAAAATTTTCCTCATAAGGATTATTTTGTAGGTATCAATGGCACAATCTCTCTCTAATAGTCTCTATTATTTAGGCTGCATTCCGATATTCACTATCACCCTGGTAACCATTCCTTTGCAATTCTGCTGTAAACTGCACGAAAAGTCGTGCACTAACTTTCGGGCAGATCATGCGTTTTCTATTTCCAACTTTAACTATTTTTCTGTTGGCAGAAACTTGCTCTCGTCGTAGTGCAACAGAATTGTGGAAGATATGTGTATGCATTTACATATAGCAGAATAGTGCAAGAAATGCGGCAGATGCTTGCGCAAATCGCAGTGCAACATAATCGCGCCAGATTTGTAGCAGCGCCTACTGCTACCCATACAGCACAAAATATTTTTAAAATATTTTTTAGAAAGATTAAAATAATTTACAAAAATATTTTTTATATTTATAGCACCGCAGTGGTGTTGGGTAAGCCTTGCGTTGTATTGCTGGCGAAGATTGTCGCGAATGTCATGATTTTGCTTCGCGCTTCGCCGGAGGCCTGCTTATATTAGATCCCAACTGAAATTTACTTGCGAGTTAGTTTTACCATTACGCGCCGCCTAGCGGCATCGTTGCAAACTAGCACATACAGCAGAATTCAACAAGAATTACGGCAGATGCTTGCGTAAAGAAGTAGAGCAGCAGAAATACAAATAATTTTGGCAGAAATAAACAAAATAAGTGATCACAAGAGTTACCTGACAGTCAAATTGATAAGATATACGACACCATCTCCCCGCGTAATACAATAAGTATTACGCGGCATTTTTTACTACTTGTGACCACTGCATTTCACTCGACCAGCTATATGTACTGAGGAGGGTCCAAATCAAGGACCGAAACGTTTACTTTATTATATATATTTTATTCAATTTGTAATATTTTAAATTACTGTCGCTCGTCCATCGTCGCGAACGAGCTCTCATTTGCCTTGTTTTTTTTTATTTATCGTTATTGAGAGCGTTATCTTTGTTATTTTGGCAGAATATACCGTACATCTGATTTATCAATCAAACATTTTTCGAAATTCGTAACGCCAAAATGGACCGTATGGCCTACATCTCACAGCACGAAGCTATAACAGTTTCACAATCTCCACTTAACTTACCAGTAATTATTTCTATAAATATTTATAACATAAATTAAAAACAACTTTAATAATATTGATGATAATTATTTACACTTTATTTTAAAATATTTATTATAATTTTTTAGATACTTTCATTTTCCGGACATTATAATATTTACAAAATATTCAACGTATATATTTTCAAAATATTTAAATCTTTTTTATAAATATTTTATAAATATTTAATAAATATTTTGTGCTGTCTGGGAGTTTAGCGCGCTCGACTGTTCTTTTTCTGACGGGCAGATGCTGGCACGCTTTTTTCGCATTTCTGTCACTCGGATCTATACGGCAAAAACAACAATTTAAGCGACATTATACACTTGTGAAATTTTTCTGCAAATATGTTTCAAGAGTCTAGCACACTCGACTGCTCTTTTTCTCACGGGCAGATGCTTGCACGTTCTT